AATTGCTATTGAGCTTCAGTGACTTCAAATCCATCACTCTACCAAATTCCTGTCTATAGAGTAATCATATTCACTCTACTAAATTCAGTAAGAACTGAAAGTGAATGCAACTGTCCACTTCTGCAGATCAAAGCCTCAGAAGTGATGAGTGGTACAATGGAAGCCTACACTATAAGACATGCACCAGGTCAGTCATTCAGTATAATACGTTTATATTCCCTATCTGAATCAATTTTCAAATGGATGCCACTATCACAGCTTATAAACAAGAACACAGAAGCTATCTTTAGGCAGCTTGTCAGACATACCCAGCTAGAAAGTTTCAAAGATAATCTGACAGGTTGGCTGATTTCAGAGATTACCCTCTGTGGTGTCAACTGACATTTAACTCAACCTATTATCTCCAGACCCACAAAATGAAATATACATTGAAAGCAATTTTAATACTTATTTTATGATTTGATTTCTTAATATTTTGCATGTTCACATCTTATTAATTTGTTATTAAAAGTTTAATTTTTGTTCCCAGATTTAAAATAATTATTGTATACTTACATATGAAATACCATAAAGTTAAATAAATAATATTAAAGTATGGAAATTTTTAGTTGAAGCATAAATGAATTGGAACCTTGCTTTGCCTTACAACAAAAAAAGGGGGAAATATGAGTATTTGGGGTTCAGAGCAAGTGAACTAGCATGTAGTGTTAAAAGGGAATTTCCTATAAATTGTTTAACAGGAGGACAATCTGAAGGCTTAGCATGTTTTGTTTTAAAGCAACTGCAGTATCAAAACAGTAACATTCTAACTTTTTTCCCAAGTATTCCTTTAGTTTGCTTAAATTCTAAAGCAAAAAAAGAAAACAACAGAAAAAATATAAACATACACTAGTGCTTAGGGGTAGTGGCCCTGAAAGGGTAAATGAATGAGACATGAGAAAAATGAATCCATGCTGGCTGAGTGTAGCCAGACATTCTAATCCATCACTGATTCCCAAAGGGCACTAATAATATGTAAATGTGTGAATTAGAAAACACATTTGAGGCTGTTGATAAACTTGATAGGATAATCAGCACATGCTGACAGACTAATGAAACTGATGAACTGATAGGGAGGCTTATCTCCTAGGCCATTTTTTCCTTGTCAAATGGAGGCTAATCAAAATGTATTAGGAGTTAAGCAAGCACTCAGGGGATTTAACCCATTTGATTAGGAGGTGAACTCACTCCTGAGAAAATTATAGTTTCCTGAACACCCGAAACTATAAAACCTGATCAGCTGACAGATCTTGACATAAAATTAAATAGAAGGCGGCCACCGTAATTACAGATGAAATCTGGCATTGGAAATTCTATTAAGGTCCTCCTCTAGAAAATTGTCAGGATGATTTTCAGAGTCTGGGCAAAGAGACCACCTCCTTCCATAATGGAAAATAACACAAAGAGCCAGGCAATGACCTCAGGGACTCACTGATCTGCTGCCTGTGTGAGCTCAGCATTGTGTAACGGAAGGAGGCAGATCCCAAGGTACCAGCTTGATTTTCAATCCAATTTATTTACATAAAATAATTTAATGAATTTTCTGAGATCATTAATTGTAGTGAATATCACTACTTCCCATTAGCAATAAAGATACCACATGCAGCTTGTCATCGAGGACCCTGGAGCCTAGTCCTAATTTCAACAAAGATGTCTTATTTGATAACTGAGGGAAAATGGACACTAAAGTAATGAATAAAATCAAAGTAAAAACTACTCCACCTCATTGGACAAAGCCAGAGAAAGTAATCTCTATAATGCTTATTTTGCTATGAAAAATAGGCAACAGGAGCCTGGTGTGGTTGTACATGTCTTTAATTCCAGCACTCAGGAGGCAAAGGCAGGGAGGTCTCTATGAGATCTAGGCCAGGCAGGTTTACATACCAAGTTTCAGGTTGGCTGGAGTTACAGGGAGACTCTGTCTCAAGAAAAAAAAAGTCCAAACGCCATTACTAACAGATCTACCCACTCCAGGCACATGCTGTCTGCTCACGTACACTTGACTCATGTGGACAGATGGGTGGGAAACTGTCAGAGAGTAACAGGTGCTGTTTCAGTCCAAAAGCTTAAAGGCAAAAGTGTATTTAATGAAACTAAACTTTATCACAGAGAAATTACATCAAAGAAGAAAAATTAATGAATCCTCTGGGATTAATAAGCATCCTCTTTGAAATGAGCATTAATCACTCTACTACTGCTTCAGAGGCAAACTGGGGGGAGGGATTACCAGAGACATGGAATGTTTTTTTTTTTAATTTTTAAAAATGATTTATTTAATAACAACATACTTAGAAGAGCATATCATTACAACACAATTGACATATTCAATAACGGTTTCCTGAGGTAGGATGCATCTCTTTCAAAATTGGCTGTAAATTTTTAGGTTTACAGTTAATTATTACAGTTATACAATATTGTACTCAGTATAAACCCTATAAGACATAAATTAAATGATGTTTTAACCTTTAAAAAAGTTCTCCATTTCATTATTAAAATACACAGTTCATATAGGAAAATTCTTTTTCAATGCAATTGACATTGGATGTTTGCACATGCATTTCTAATCTCTAAATATCTGATTATTACTAGTCACAGTTGGTTACTTTCTGAGCTTCTAGGCATCTGAGCATGGATATAAAGTCATCAGGTAGATTTCAATGGTAATGTTTTTCACATCTACTAATTTTTTTTTTCATTACATCATTAACATATTCAATAACAATTTCCAGAGCAAAGATGCTTCTCTTTCAAAATTAGCTGTAAATTTTGAGGTTCACAGTTAAATTAATACAGTTATACAATATTGAACTCAGCATAACCCTTATAAGACCACTTGAAG